TTCTGGGATTATAGGCATGAGCCACTGTACCCAGCCAAACATATATTCTCATAAAACCTATAATTGTGTCTTCAAAAAATACGTCTTGAGGGACAAAAACCTACATTCAACATACGTCTCTTCCCCTGCCCATAATACACTATCACAGCTTTTCTTTGGCAATTGTATGGTAAACAGGTGAATAATTGTATTGCTGATGGAGGGCTTAAGGACATCCAACATGAGTAGAGAGCTGACAGCATACTGCTGAGTGTTGAGAAAGTACAGAAAAAAACACATCTAATGCTTGAGCAACGAAGTTTGAGACTAGCTTGGGAAACATGGCAAGATCCTATCTCTACAAAACACCTAAAAATAATTAGCTAGGCATGGTGGCATGTGCCTGTGGTCCCAGCTACTTGGGAGGCTTAAGTGGGAGGACTGCTTCTGCCCAGGAGGTTGAAGCTGCAGTGAGACATGTTCACTCCACTGCCTTTCAACCTGGATGACAGAGGAAGACTCTCTTAAAAACAACAACAAAACACGTATAGGGTATTTTTCACATTTAATAAAACTCAGCTTCTTAAAACTGGTTTGACATTTGGCTTAAGGTGAATGTAACTAGGACTTTCTCTTATACTTACCCGTTGTTGGTGAACAATGTTTTTATGTTCACGTGCCACACGTGTGGCCCATTTTCGAGCTTCCTTATTTAGACTGTGCTCCTCTGTGGTCCCAGTTTCTGATTCTAATTGTCGGCTCTATAACACAAGAGTGAACAAAGATAAAAATACTGCTATCCTTATTGCAACCACCACTGCTTTGTAGATGGACCAGAGGGCCTTCACTCAATCAGCACTCAAAACATGAGGCATGCTCCACTACTGCTGGAAGCAATGTCTTAACGTCACAGAAAGTTACCAGAAGAGTAAGACGACAGTATGAAACCATTAAAGACCGTAAGCTTTTTGTCTTACACTGTCGAACACAAAAGCATAATTTCTAATGCTGTGGACTTATCTTTTTGTATGTGATGGAATTATCATCTTTCTGAAGGGGAAGGAAGCTAGTTAAGGTAAGCAAAGAAGAAAAAAGTATTCATGCCAATCTACTATGATGCTAAAATCATTGTATAAATAAAAATGGAAACAATCTAATAGTTTCAATGTAAGTAAAGAATCATTAAAGAGAAGTAAGAACAAAACAATAAAATAACAGCACCACAATCATGTACCGCCCCTTTGCCCCAGGATACTGGATTTCATCAAGTTAGAGGTCCATCATCAACTTGCCACCAAACTTCAAGCCAGCTTTTGCCCTTTCTCTAGGATTTAATATCTTCATATGAAAGATAAGGGTGCTAGATCAAATAACCACCAAGGGTTTCTTCTAGCTCTAAAATGCTATGATTCTGATTTACAAAGAACAAACCGCAAAATCTAAATAAACAATAGTAATAGCTAACTCCCATTGTGCAAGGTACTATGGAAAGTGCTTCATGTAACATTTTTTTCTTTTTTTAACAGGTTTAATGATGTGGGTCCCAAACCATTTTATAGAAAAGAAAACAAAGGCTCAGAGAGGTTAAGTAATTTTCCCCCAGATGGCCTGGATATTAAATGTTACAACCTTAATTGTCTGATTCAGAGCCATTAAACACAAAACTCTTAATTCTCTCTAAATTCTTAAAGACCCATGAAAAACAAAGTTTATTGAGATAATTAGGAAATTAAAAAAATATATCAATTACCCAAAGAGGTTTTTAATAGAGAAAGAAGCAAAATTATACAATGAAAAGAATTTTAGAAATTCTGATCATGGCTCACTGCAGCCTCAACTTCTGGGCTCAAGTGACCCTCCCAACTTCAGCCTCCTGAGTAGCTGGAACTACAGGTGTGTGCTACCAAGCCCAACTAATTTTTTTTTTCCCCTAGAGACAAGGTCTCACTATGTTGCCCAAGTTCCTCTTGAACTCCTCGGCTCAAGTAATCCTCCAAAGGGTTGAAATTACAGGAATGAACTACCACACCTGGCCTAGTAATTCTTTTGCAAGATCTTGTAACTCAAAATTGATAAGTTACAAGATCTTGCAAAAGAATTACTAGGATTTAAAAAATTAATATTTTTGTTGAGGGAATTGTGATGAGGCAGGGTTTAAAGTTTTTTGCTCTATACAGAGATTCCTATATTCCTACATTCCTACAGACAATCTAGCTAAAGCTAGATTATAATGATGACAAATGAACTGAAACAGAGCGAAATAATTAAAATTCAAATCTAACCATCTTTACATTTGTATTTTATATTCTAATTCATTCTTTGGGTTATCAGAAGTCTGGGAATGAACTTTATTATTATATTTTGCTTTGCAAATGAATCTGGGCATTCAAATTTGTATCTGTTCTCAAAATCAGGAACATTAAAATGTTAAACTCTGGACACAGATACAAATGAAATGTACATAGCTAGAGGAATGTAATCTGTAAAAGCAGAAAGATATATTCTGAAGAGTCCAAGAATAGGTTTTTGAGTCAGATAGACAGTTTGAATCCACTGTATACCATTTTATGGTACCACTAGCTTTATGATCTTGAGCATGTTAATTATCTGAGTCTTAGCTACATCTGAAAACTAGTGAAAATGTCACCTATCTCCATAGGTTTGATAGGCTATAATGAGGCAATATTTTAAACATTCTGGTATAGTGTCTACATAATATCTTAAGCATCCAGTCATGGTAACTGTTAATATTAAAGACTCAATTGAAAATTACTTGAAACAAAATGTTCTCATTATTGTTCATAAAAAAATTCAGGTAATTCATAGGTTCTTGGTAGCCTGAACAATGAATCCAAAACAAAGATTGAAGATATATTGAAAAATTAAGGTGGATCTCAAAGAGAATTAATTTGTAGGGAGCAGCTAGATGAGAAAGGAGGCAACTGATGGAAACATTTAATTTTTGTTACTGAGTAGCATTTTAGGAATAGGTAAAGTGATTTAAATTGTGTACTGGCTACAGATGGGCCATAACCCAATTTGCCTTACAAAATTTATACCTTTTTATTGAGTATTCATTGTGCTCAAGATAGAGCTTTTCCCTTATTTTTTATGTGTCTACTAAGACCTACAAGATTGGAAGATATGGCTTTGAGATCCTTTTGTTTAGGGAATGACACATAACTAAAATTCAAATTAGTTTATCCTTTTCATGAGTTCTGAAATCAGGCCATGGAATACATGTGGAAGCTCCTGAGGCACAGGTCTTGACAACTGAGGATTTCATGCAAGGCGAATACAGCCCAGGGTGTTAAACAATACACAGATAAATGTTCTAATACCACCTCTACTATCAAAGATCAATATAAATCAGGATCTAGTATAGGTCACAATAATAATTATTATTTTGAGACAGTCTCACTTTGGCTAGCATAATCTCAGCTCACTGTAACCTTTGTTTCCTGGATTCAAGTGATTCTTCTGCCACCTGCCTCAGTCTCCCATGTAGCTGGGACTACAAATGCATGCCACCATGCCCAGCTAATTTTTTGTATTTTTAATAGAGATGGAGTTTCACCATGTTAGTCAGGATGGATAATAATTTTTTTTAAGACGGTGGTATTAGCAGTGGTTGATTCCAACAAGAAAAAAAAAAAGCCGTAACAACTGCTACTTTTTAGAACGTTGGCAAATTTATTTTTATTTTATTTTTTATTTTTTTAGAGTCTTGCTCGGTCACCCAGGCTGGACTACAGTGGCACTATCTTAGCTCACTGCAACCTCTGCCTCCTGGGTTCAAGAGATACTCATTCCTCAGCCTCCAGAGTCACTGGGATTGCAGGTATGCACCACGTCAGCTAATTTTTTGTATTTTTAGTAGAGATGAGGTTTCACTATGTTGGCCAGGCTGGTCTCGAACTCCTGTCCTCAAGTGATCTACCTGTCCTTGGCCTTCCAAAGTGCTGGGATTACAAGCATGAGCCACCGCGGCTGGCCTAGTTCATTCTTTTAACATTTTTCTTTTCTTTGGAAGACAGGGTCTCACTCAATTGTCCAGGCTGGAGTACAGTGATGCAATCATGACTCACTGCAGCCTGGACCTCCTGAGCTCAAGAAATCCTCCCACTTCAGCATCCCAAGTAGCTGAGACCACAGCATATGCCAGCACACTCAGCTGATTTTCTGATTTTTGGCCTAATGCTTTTGGAAAGAGCCTATAGACTTTTAAGTCACATATTCAAATATACCACACACCCTGGAGAGGAGTGGGATAGTGCCTCTTAAGAGACATAATTTAATTTTTTCTGACTATGCTTGGAGAGCAGAACTTCCACCTGGAAAGAAGTGGGAACTCATCTGATAAACTGAGTGTGCCTGGTGTCTCAGGAGAGTACCACTGGAGAACAACTGGTATGAACTGAGCCTTGGAACAATTCTAAAAGACTCTGCACACCTGGGGAAAAGGAATATACCCATTAAGGCTGGGGGTAAAGAAATGATGAGAACTCTAAGAAAGGGGCTTTTCTTTTGTCTTGGGTTAGAGTACCAAAGGCAAACCTTAGCAAAAAATATGTCCCTGAGTAATGACATGAAAGTAAAACAAAAACAGCAACAAAAACCTTGTGTCTAACACCTTCTAGAACATACCTAGAGGCATTAGATGGAAGAGTCTTATAAAGAGTATGCCTTTATTTTGGTAGCTCCTACAGAGATTTTGCTTTAAGATCCATAATCACAAGCTAGATAGGGGAACTTCCAAGCTCCTATGTGTCGGCACATAACTGATGCATCTGTGCAAAGATCTAGCTACTCTGGATGGTTAGACAAGCAACCAGATCAGGAGAAAGAGACTAAACCAGTTGAGGGCCTATCATATAGATGGTAGACTTTCTACAAAAAGCCTTTTGTGAAACACTGAAGAAATTAGGACAGCCACTTTGAACACTTAACTGTCAGTCCTGCTAATTCTAAAAAGTGATGCTCGAGTTTTCTGCTCCTCAGAGTAAAGGGGTGGCGGTGCAGCCTCTATTGTTCGGGTTTTAAGGCACCATGAGGGGTGACAGAGGCTGTGGTCGTGGTGGGCGCTTTGGTTCCAGAGGAGGCCCAGGAAGAGGGTTCAGGCCCTTTGTACCACATATCCCATTTGACTTCTATTTGTGGGAAATGGCCTTCCCCTGGGTCAAGCCAGCACCTGATGAAACTTCAGTCAGGCCTTGCTGAAGAGGAATCAGGACCTGGTTCCCAATTCTATCCTTTCCCTGGTGACAAAAATAAACAATGTGATTGACAATCTGATTGTGGCTCCAGGGACATTTGAAGTGCAAATTGAAGTTCGACAGGTGGGATCCTATAAAAAGGGGACGATGACTACAGGACCCAATGTGACTGACCCGGTGGTGATACTCAAGATTCTGCCAACACTGGAAGCTGTTGCTGCCCTGGGGGACAATGTCGTGGAAAGCCTAAGAGCACAGGATTCTTCTGAAGTTTTAACCATGCTGACCAATGAAACTGGCTTTGAAATTAGTTCTTATGATGCTACAGTGAAGATTCTCATTACAACAGTGCCATTACAACTGGACCCAGAACTCCATTTGGTTATCAAGATATTGTAGAGTGCCTTAGTAGCCATTTGACATGCCTGCTGGTTTGAGGAAAATGCTTCTCAGTCCACAGTTAAAGTTCTCATCAGACTACTGAAAGAGTTGAGGATTCGTTTTCCTGGCTTTGAGCCCCTCACACCCTGGATCCTTGACCTACTAGGTCATTATGCTGTGATGGACAACCCCACCAGACAGCCTTTGGCCCTAAATGTTGCATACAGGTGCTGCTTGCAGATTCTGGCTGCAGGACTGTTCCTGCCAGGTTCAGTGGGTACCACTGACCCCTGTGAGAGTGGCAACTTCAGAGTACACACAGTCATGACCCTAGAACAGCAGGACATGGTCTGCTATACAGCTCAGACTCTTGTCCAAATCCTCTCACATGGTGGTTTTAGGAAGATCCTTGGCCAGGAGGGTGATGCCAGCTATCTTGCTTCTGAAATACCTACCTGGGATGGAGTGATAATTAAAACCTTCGGAAAAGGCTTATGAGAAGCCACCAGAGAAGAAGGAAGGAGAGGAAGAAGAGGAGAATACAGAAGAACCACCTCAAGGAGAGGAAGAAGCAAGCATGGAAACTCAGGAGTGACCTTCCCTTCCCTTGACTTGGAGCCAGACCTTCCCTTGACTGGAGCCTAAGCTCACTGCTACTGGGCTTTACATGGTGGTAGACACTTCCGAGGGATAGGGAAGACAGCAGGAAGGAAAGTAAACTCCATAGAAGTGTCATTCCACTGGGTTTTGATATTGGCTTAGCAGCCAGTTTCCCATTTGTGACCTATATCATCCATCTATAATGAATGAGGATACCAACATTTCCTCCTAATATTCTAGAATCCCCAACTCCTGAAAACCCCTCTCTCAACTAATACTTTGCTGTTGAAATGTTGTCAACTGTTAAGTGTCTGGAAATTTTTTTTCTAAGAAAAACTATTAAAGTACTTCCTAGTAGGGAAAAAAGAAAAAGTGATGCTCTTGTCTTTAGTCAAAGCCTCTCATTTTTGGATACTGTGCCAAGCCTATGTGTAAGAGGATGGTACCTATGTACTCAATAGGAGGACTTCCTACAGTTTCTATCACAGCCTTTCATGTTTATGAGACAATGCTATATCCAGTACAAAATTTCTACAAGCAGAAAGAGTCACCCATAACAATGAGAATTTTCAGGTATATTTACTGCACAGTGTATTAACCCCATGCAGTCTTTTATAGACAAGGGAAATTTCTGCCAAAGATTTATTTTTAATAGATGCATAAATCACTCCCTTTACATAAAACTTTAATGTGTAAAAGTTCTCAACTGCAGCAAGTGGACATTTTTTTTTTTTTTTGAGACGGAGTTCCGCTCTTGTTACCCAGGCTGGAGTGCAATGGCGCGATCTCGGCTCACCGCAACCTCCGCCTCCTGGGTTCAGGCAATTCTCCTGCCTCAGCCTCCCGAGTAGCTGGGATTACAGGCACACACCACCATGCCCAGCTAATTTTTTGTATTTTTAGTAGAGATGGGGTTTCACCATGTTGACCAGGATGGTCTCGATCTCTTGACCTCGTGATCCACCTGCCTCGGCCTCCCAAGCAAGTGGACATTTTACTTACTATAACTGTTAATCTATAAAAGGTAGAATTAAATACCAGAAATAGCATCTAGAATAACAGGAAAAGATCATATATCAGAAATTCAGTGTCACTTTTTGCTATCAATATTTGTGAAGACCTTGTTATTTGTTGTTCAAGGAAGGTAAAGGGGTAAGGGTATTCTCATCCCCACTGGGAAACTTGAAAATGTTTCCTTAAGTTTTTCCTGCCTGTATAGATGATACTTACCTAAGTTTTGTGGAATGCATGTTTCCCATATTATTTCCCATCCCAGCTTCTCCTTGTCCTTTTTCACAGAATATGACAAAATGCCCCTAATGGCATTCATCACAAGTTCTAGTAATAAAGGAAAGGCTCACTGAGATGTATGTAGGGCAAAAGTGTTGAAAAGTACAAGTCATGTACTTAAAATTATTCCAAACAGATTGCCTTTCAGATGTACAAACTGCCAAGAGGGACGCTGATGAGATCCTCCTTGTGGAATAAGTAGGAGAACAAAAGTCCCAGAGGAGTTTTAATGATCAATCCAACAAGGGAGTTGAGAGCTAGGGATCACAACTGCAAAAGTATTCCAAGTATTTCAAGATCTGTAATGCCTTCTATATTTGCTATTGGTATTTCCTATAGCAATTAGGGGAAAAATACTAAAAAAGAAAAGAAAAGAAAAGAAAAATAAATATTTTTGTCCTGTGGAAAGATTTTAAAAAGTCAATCAACATCTGTTCTGACTCAATGTGCCAGGCACTGAGTAGAATGCTTTGTATCCTATTTAATTTTCAAACCCAATAAGGTATAGCTGGCCTTCTGTATGTGTGGGTTCTGTATCTGGAGTCAACCAACCACAGATCAAAATTTTTTTTTTTTTAAAAGAAAAAAAAAAAAGGATAGTTGTGTCTGTACTGAACATGTATAGACCTTTTCCTTGTCTTATTCCCTAAACAATGTAATATAATGTAAAACTAATAATATAGCATTAACATTGTATTAGGGATTATAATCTAGTGATGATTTAAAGTATACAAAGAATATGAATAGGTTATATGCAAATACTACATCATTTTATACAGAGGACTTGAACATCTGTGGATTTTAGTACATGAAGAGGTTCCTAGAATTATGGATACCAAGGGAGAACTGTTGTCATTTCACAAATGAGGAAGCTGAATCACAAAAGTTAAAAATATATAAAATGCTAGTTTAGACACCAAAACCTATGTTTTCTCCATTGTACAACACCTGTATGAATCACTAACCCCAGTGTGACCCATGTGTCAGCTGAATGACTCTAACATTGAGATCCTAATAAATGTGCTTGTCAGTTCTCTCTCACAGAATATCCTTAATATAGAGAAAAGGATTTTAAGGCAAATTCCATATCCTCCTCAGAATAATTCTGTATTAATAAGTCATTTCAGAAAAAAAAATTAAAAAAAGATGTACTTTACTTTTTCTAGAAAGAACTCTGGCTTTCTGGTATCATCTGAGAAATGATAATTGAAGATATAAAGAAAGAACACTTTAGAAATCAATAACTCTATTACGGAAAATAGGTAAGAAAAGCCTTCAGTATTAACCATGAGACAGCTATTAAGTTATTACAAAAGACAAAGCTTGCCATTGGTCACTGTCACTTGTAGCCATCTTTCGGTAATACTAAAATTCTACCCAAAAAAGCCCTAATTACTATAATAATACTGTGATTATACATTCAATTGGACTTCTGTAGGGAAAACAGTATGGTTTGAAATGGGTTATATTCAAAAGTTAAAAAAATTTTTAAGATAGTTTATGAAAATCATCAGAAAAAATAAGAGTTACATTTTATCATAGGGGTAACTTTAGAAGTCCTATAACTTTCCTAAATACATCTTAAATTTAGATAAAATATTTAATGAATTCTCATCTGTAAGGCAAGGGCATATGCAAAGAGTATGTAAGTATCTGCTTAGTAAATGAAAAATAAATGTGTTAAACCCTAAGCAGTTCAAAATTCCTAATTCAAATTATAAAATGTAAAATAAAAGAACAATACTGTACTGCCCTGCAATAGATCTCATCATATTGCTATCTTACCTAAGTACATAGTTCTCCATTTACAAATCATGTAAAAACTCAAAAATAACACCTGGTTGCAACCCACTTTCATCACTAAGTCTACTTACTATTTCAGGTACAGTCATGTACTTTCAAACTTTTCAGGCTCTAACACTTATTAGCTGAGTGACCTTGAACAAAGCAAATTGTTTTTCTTTCTATTTTTTGTTTGTTGTTGCTGTTTGAGACAAGGTCTTGCTCTGTCACCCAGGATGGAGTGCAGTGGCATGATCATGGCTCATTGCAACCTCTACCTCTCAGGCTCAGTGATCCTCCCACTTCAGCTTCCTGAGTAGCTGGGACTACAGGTGTGTGCTACCATGCTCAGCTAGTTTTCTGTATTTTTTTTCCCCCTGTAGAGACAGGGTTTCACTATTTTGCCCAGGCTGGTCTCAAACTCCTGGGCTCAAGCAATGCCTCCACCTTGGCCTCCCAAAGTGCTGGGATTACAGGCGTGAGCCTCTGCACCCAGCCAGATTTCCTAACTTTAGTTTCCTCAACTGTAAAAGAGGGATTACAAATAGTGCCTAGAATATAGGGTTTTTGTGAAGATAAAATAAATTAATATAGGTAATACCATTAGAAAAATGTCTAGCATTAAATAAATGTTCAATGAATGTTACCTATTATTTTTATTCTTTTCAACTTTTGTTTTCCCTTCCTGGCATGTTGTTTCTCCCTCTATTCAGAGTAAACTGCAATTCATCTTCAAGATCTAATCTATAACAAGTACACACAATCCAATAAAAAAACAGAAACAAGGTTTGAACAGACATTTGACCAAAGAAGACATATGAGTGGCTAATAGACCCATGAAAAGATAGCTCAACATCATTAGTCATTAGGGAAATGCAAATCAGAACCATGAGACACTATTTCATATCCATTAGGATGATTATAATCAGAGCTAGACAATAATAAACGTCTGGCTGAGGCAGGAGGATCATTTGAGCCCAGGAGTTCAAGACCAGCCTAAGCAACATTGGCGAGATTTCCTCTCTACCAAAAAAAAAAAAAAAAAAAAATTAGCTGTAGTCCCAGTTACTCCAGAGGCTGAGGCGGAAGGATTGCTTGAGCCCAGGAGGTTGAGCTGCAGTGAACTGTGATTATGCCACTACATTTTGGCCTGGGCAACAGGGTGAGACCCTGTCTTAAAAAAAGACTGACGGTCTGGAATGATTTTTTAAATCATAGGCAATTTATCTTTTTCCATTATGAAAACACAAATTGCTTCCCCAGTGCTGAAGACTTCTTCTTAGAAGAAAGCATAGCACAGCAGAAAGAACATTACTATTGCAATCACAACAGTAACGTGTCATTAATTTAGTCCATGACTCTGGACAAGTCTCCCTTACTAGGCTACAGTTTCCCCTTTAATAAAGACAAGATTAGCTCTAAAGTTCTCTCTAGCACACCTGCTGAAGAAAATTAAGGTGTTTCAAAGAAGATGAAAAATGAGTAGCTCAATTTCTTCACTATAAACAGGGAAGGAAATTCTTAATTTATAAGAGAAAACAGCTGATGCATCAGGGACCTTTTATATGTATACATATGTAACTTTCACCCCAACACCAGGTCCCACCCTTCATTAACATGCAAACCCACACGGCCCATCCTTCCCACCCTTGTCCCACACCCCGTATACCTCAGCTATGGTCATTCTCAGAGCACTGACAGGGGAGAGCTCAATATCCACCAGTTGGGCGGCTTTTAAACTCTGCCCAGTAAAGATTGCACAAGGACAAAAAACAGCATAGAGTTAGAAATTTAAGGCAAACAAGGACATAACACCTAAAAACATTTAACACAGTGTTTAGAAACAAAGGGTTTAGGGTTGTAGTTGGGCTGTGGAAAAGTGAGATTAGAGTCGCTGTTATTCTGATTCTTCTGTGGAAAACA